GGCAAGAAATTTCATATCTTTGGTTCGGTGCATGCTATGAAGACAGAAATACCACCATTCGATTCAGAAATAAAAGATTCAACTAATTCCTCCCTATAGTTATAGTCATTATCAACATTGTAGCGATTTATTGGCCTTTGAAAGTCAAACACGATCATATTGTATCAAATTACGCTATTGTCTGAACAAAAATATAGACTAGCTGTACCTTTCGCCAAAAATAACTTCGGCCCCTTCGAACATATCATCTTTGTAATAGTCGTGTTCGAATCCCCATCCAAAACACTATTTAGAGTGTTATTTGCAAGCCTGTATCTTCAAATCTGTATCTTTTATCAATATATTTCCATTTTTTGTCTGACTGTGAGCTCGAAGTGAGTTAATCCCAACTGGAAATACGACTGAAAACCGTCAAAACAATGCGACGTTTGTATCGTATGACCCCGTGAATGTCAGAAATGGATTCTACAGGTCAAATTGCACCTACACATGTGAGTTTGACGTCATCCCGGCCACAGGAGCTTCTTATTGGCCAATTATTGCGCAATGTACGCAAGTGCAAGTAAAACCCAACATCTTGAAAAATTCAAAATAAATATTTCTACTTGCCGTATTCAAACGAAATTTTGTACACGAAAGCGCTTGAATACAAGTATTTACACACATAGCCGTTCAGACAACGATGAAAAGTTCAAGAGATATTCAAGATTTTCTGGATATGAACTTTGATTTAATAATATTTAATGATATAGTTTGCCCTAAGAGCATATAATGCTCATCTAGAGGGCTTACTATTACAAATTTACAACAATGTACATAAAACAGACACTCAACGATTTTTACAAATACGATATACATTATTAAACTAGCATTTGCAAATCAGTTCATTATAAATAGATAGAATAATAATTGCTCATCAAGGTTCTACAAGAGCAAATCGACTTTCTTTAATGAAACATTGGACACTATGAAAAATTCCGATAAACTATAATTCGAAAATGACCTCAAGGAGTAATGAGTTCGCTCAAACACCTGAGATGGCATTAGCTCTTTTAAATAATTTGGAGTTAAATTATTAACAATTTTAAAATAGAATATCAACTTATGAATAGAACGTCTAGTTTTCATATCTTCCCAACCGATTTCGTACATCAGAGAATATCATAAAGAGAGGTATCATCAGCGTAAAGAAAACAGTCTGTTTCAAGATTTTCAGTAATATCATTGATATAAATCAAGAAAAGCAACGGACCAAAAACAGAGCCTGAGGAATACCGGCTTTTGTGTTTTCCATTCAGAAAATTGACCATCAATAACGACTCGCTGTTTACGATTAGTTTAAATAGCTTTTGAACCAACTTAGCAAGGGGGTCTCTAACACCAATTTTTTCAAGTTTATATAACAGCCCGTTATGCCACACTTTGTCAAACGCCTTGCTTATATCAAGAAATACCATCAGAACTTCTCTGCCACGTTCCAGAGCATCATAGATCTTATGAACATGTTAATTGATTTACAGTAGAATCACCAGGTCGAAAACCTGACTGCAATGGATTTAAAAAAATTATTTCCAAAAGAAAATTATACATTCGGATATATACTATTTTTTCAACTATTTTAGATAACAAGTCTAATAAAGAAACAGGTCTATAATTCAGCTATGAACTTTAGAATCATTGGCCTAGGGGTGAGTAAATATATGATTGTTTCGGTTTGTGTAATGTTTTGACGGCACTTGACCCCCCGTTCGAAAGGTTATTTTGTGAGGATTTAAATGGGGGTAAATACTCGCCGAGATATTTATATTAGAAAAATTGGGTCGTAATGTAATGCGAAACCCTATGGTTGAGAAAGAGTGAAGCAATATATTTTCAAAATTTTCACTTCACATTTTCCCGTTTGCCAAGCAATTTCGCTTCGCAAAAATGTACAGATGCTTCACAAATGCGAAGTGCGACCCATTAATTTGACCCTGGTCTAGTGACATGTTGGTCAGGTGATATGTATTCTTGGTATACACACAACGTGCAATACGCAGTAAACAGCGAGAAGAGAGCATTTGTACTACACTTGTAAACAGCCAAATGAGTTCATCCAAATATGAGCTAGGTATCGTTCTCCCAGGCTAGTCCCAGCGTTTCTTTATCATGCCTTATCTGCTCTATCAACTATGCTCATATGCTGGAATGGCTTGCAACATGTACGCACCGCGTACCTATTTTTTTACTGTGTGGTGGTACTGTGTACAATACATAGGAATATGACAACTTGACTGAAATCTGTATGCGTCAATTTATAGAATTGTGAATAGACAATGCTCTCTGTTTCTCCAGCCAGTGTAAAGTCTTCTACCATGTATGCATAAATAGTTTTGTAGTTTAAACTAGAAAATACATGCATGCAGAAACCCTCGCCTTGCTGAAAAAACTGTTGTATTTTCCGAACAGGAAGTATCTAGAGTAGTTGTCATGGTAACACGATAATTTTTTAAGAATATTCTTACAAATGAATATCGCCTAAAAATATCACTTTTAATTACCAAATTATCAATTTCCCAACATATATATGTTAGGTATGTAATTATACGTAATACAAGCTTCAATTTAAGGTAAAATTCAACCACAAACAATTCACAAAACGTTTTAAAGTGTTCTTTATAAAACTAAACTGCCTTTAACTATTAAATGGCTTTATCGATAAACTTTGAGTTTGCAATAAAATGATTTCAAATTCTCGCTTGCAAATAACTTTGGTCTTTGCTTTATTTTTTATTTAAAAAATTCAATATAATAAAAAAGGGAATCAATATTAAAGTTACACTGAAATTTATATATGCTGTCTTGTTTAGTTGTTTCATATACGCAAAGGCCGTCGGGTTTTAAAGCCATTATAAAATCAATATTTAAAACAAACTTACCTTCGTTAACGTCGGCTCCCTTCTTTTAGCTGATTCTTTCGCCCTTTCTTTCTTGAAATTTACAAAATCTTGCAGAAATACGAGCAAAAATGAAATATATTTGCAAGAAATTTATCAATCATCAAATCAAGAAATGTTTGCTATTTCGCTGTCGTCATGCAGTCGTTATAATGCAAACTTTAAATTGGACCAATCAGTGTCCGTTATTCATGACAATCCGCCATATTTTTGAGATCAGTGAGGATGACCACCCATCGTTGGTGACCGACGCCCGCGCTCATTGATGAACTTTAGACTTCGCTAATGCTTTCGTTTCCCCGGGTGTAAATAGCTGGGGGGAATTAGTACCCTCGCACGGCGCTTTGCGCCGCCGGCTCGGGGATAACATGGAAGATGGATGGTTATGCTATATCAGGCATTTTGTCTCCCATTGTCAAAAATGCTGTGTCTATCCATGCTTTTGCTATAAATGTCTTTGTCTTCCTCTTCTTTTTGGTTTGGCCATGAACAGTGCATTTTCCATTATGTTCATCAAGAAACCTGTTGAAGGGACTACTGCTGATGGAATAAATTGCCAACCACGCTTGTTTGCAAACAAGAAATCCCCGTTTTTGTTGGGTTAAATACTGACTGGTGCTGGAAGACTGCCAGTGCCATTTTAATTAAACAGATCATGATAAGTAGCAGGTGAGTGTTTTTTCCTCGAACAGTTTCCCAGATTTAACAAATGAAAATGCCTTGTGGATACCTACACCTCTAACATTACTCAGATAATCACATCCAGCTGCAATGCAACCATGCACAAATTCTGTCTTTGTTGTATTTAGCCCAGAAAGAATGTTGTTTAACTCAAAGTACTCTCCATGACCAGTCATTCCAAGCTTAAAAATAACCTTAAAAGATATGAAATACACTCAATGTTGAAATACACACAAGCCTTTGGATAGTGCTGTTAGTGTGGAATTAGAAATGTTTTCATCTGATAGGTATAGTAATGTAGGTTATTGTGCATTTTCTTGTGTAATTTGTTTTTGCTAATATGTCTGTTATTTTTGGTGTTACATGTTACATTGTTATTCATATTTGTGTTGGGTGTGTATGTCCTGGTTATGCATTGCGTTATTTCTGATGTTAGTGTGTTTGGTTTAGAAGAAAATAATGTATTTGTGAATGTGATAAAGACCATCTATTATAGTATATGATAAGTGATGTATCCTGGATATAACCAGGCGAGTGCCCTTACCCAACTGACATATATGTAAAATGTCTGCGAGTATCTGTCACATTTCTGTTGCAGTACTGCAGCATAACTGAAACAAGGCCTACAATATCTGCAAATATTTGCATAAAAGTTGCAGATATGTTGATTATCTGTCAAAATATCTGCCAAATATCTGCATAAAAGTTGCAGATATTTGCAGATATGTCAATTGTCTGTCAATATATCTGCATAAAAATTGCAGATATATGTAGATATGCCAATTGTCTGTCAATATAGACTATCTGGAACTACACAGCAAAATATAATTTCTTATTGAGAAAACAATTCTTACTTCAAGAAAATATTTGTTGAAATGAGAAACTCATTTTCTTAATTAGAAAAACGATTCTTAAAATGAGAAATATTTGATTTGCAATGAGACATTTTTTCTTAAATAAGAAAAATTCTCTTATTTAAGGGAGCTGTCATAAATTCAACCCGGGAGGGGGGCCGGAAGAGAAAGTGCTAGGCCATGAAACGATTCCTGAAAATTTATTGGGGCTATGAAACTTTTTCAGAAATGATGGGTATGAAACTTTTTTCAAGTTTGCAGTCTATGTTATTTTAACTTACCTTTTATAGTCAAAATATTTAATTAAAATATGTAATTAATGAAATCCCTCCCCCCCTCCCATCAGTGCCAACTCCTTCCTGGCAGGCAGACCAATATTGTAATAATCTACATATCTTTTGGCTCCAGGGAGGATATGATACCCAAATATAAATTTTTAATAGAAATTGCTATGCAATGTTTATACAAATCTTTTTTTAACAGTGTGAAACACCAACAGCAAACAAGGTCATTTGTTTTGTTTTTTCTGCTACATTTTTCTGTGTTCTTTCTTTCTTTTTTTGTTATTTTCTGCAGTCGTCGATGATATCTTTTTCAAATTGTCTTTGATCTCACATGCCTTTGAACTGTCTTGAAACATTTCTTGTTCAATCATTTCTTTAAGTCCTTGTAAATAAAATCGTGGCTTTAACTGTGTTTTGTCAGATTTTTCCAATTCTTCTGTTGAAATATTAAACAGGTCAGGGGAGATCAGATCTTCATCTCAAAGGTTTGCAGTTCGTTCTGCGACCATCAGACGCACTAGTTTAACAATTGCTTTACTAGATCTTGTTTTCAACCGATTTTCAGATTTTCTTGTTTTCTTTTCTTTGACCGTCTCTCTTCTGCTTCATCCACATCTTTCAAGAGAAATCTACACCTTAACAACAAGGGGGAATTTCGTTCTCAACCAATCAGCGCTTTTTGTTTACATTTTTGCCCTAAGCCAATTAGAATGCGTAAAATGTGTCGTCATGTGAAATTTGTAAACAAACATATGGGGTCACTTCAGAGCTTTGCTGCAAGCAGCTTTTTTTTGCCATGAAATTGATATATGTAGTTCTTAAAAGATTTTTTATTAATTGCGTGATTGTGAAGATATGGGTCTTCAAACTTTGCCTTGCGCAAGCTTAAATATCACCCCTCGAATTTGTTGGTTCCGAACGGATTAGCGTTTTTAAAAGCCTTTCAAATCAAGATTTGAGAGGTTTTATTGTTTAAAAGATACTTTTTATCTTCATATTTTCACATTGACTTATTAATATCCTGTGTAACACTTCCGGGACAGGTTGACATGTCGATTGGTGATCAATATGGCATGTATCTAAATACAGGGTAGTTTTAAGATTTTGTTGGTATAAATCGGCTAAAGAAACTCATCAAATATTTGGACTATGGACCTTCAAACTTATGCCAAGTATTTATTTGATTGATCAGCTCAATAACTGTTTTTTCGCTCGTTTTTCGTCAATTTCGACATTTGGTCAACCTCAGGATAATGTGTCAACATTGTGTTGCAGCCTGTGGACATGAATTATTTTTATTTCTCTGATAATAACACTTGTCTTCATTGTTTTTAATCCTTGAATTACAACATATTCATTGGTCTCAGAGTCCTAAACTTAAGGAAGTTGGATGACTTTGGAACACATATCAAAATTTTGTTTGGATATCAAAGTTTATGGACATAGCATAGCAATGGGAGTATCAGCCCCTCGGTATTCGGAAGGGGGCCTGACACAATTTGCCTCTACAGCCATGTTTAACATCGAGAATCTGGATGTTATGCTGATTGGCTAAGAGACGATAGAACACATCATGTGATTCAAACTGGAAATGTATGACCAGCATATGTAAACAACAAAAATAGAATTTGTAATGCTTTATTTGTGAAATTTATTTTCAATTAATTACAGTAAGCCCAAAAGACAAAATTATAGTCTTGGGATCTATTGGGGACTTGTTTATATGATCTAGGCGTCCAGAACACATGCTATTGCTTGTAGCCTCATTCATGTTGCCTGTTTGGGATAGAGTGCCTACTGTTTATGGTGAATTTCTTGGCTTCCATACATAACCAAATGTCAAATGTGGTCTCCCGCCTTGCCAGGTAATGTGAACAGGGCCCAATTGTGATTAGTGAGCCAGATGAAGTAAAAACAATATAACGAAATTCATATGTCCATAAATTTTGATACCTGAACAGCAACATTGAACACAATCATTCTGTCCCAAAGTCATCTATCTTCCTTAAGTTTAGGACTCTGAGACATATGAATATGTTGTCATTCAAAGGATTAAAAACAATGTTATTCTGACAAGTGTTATTGTCAGACAACGAAAATATTCATGTCCACAGGCTGCAACACAATGAGGTTGACCAAATGTCGAAATCGACGAAAAACAAGCCAAAAAACAGTTATTGAGCTAATCAATCAAATAAATACTTGGCATACGTTTGTGAAGGTCCATAGTCCAAATATTTGATGAGTTTCTTTTGCCCATTTATACCAACAAAATTTTAACCCACACTGTTTAGCAAGAAATGGACATGTCAACCTTGTCCCGGCCCGGAAGTGTCCTGTTTACTTGTTACACAGGATATTAATTAATAAGATAATGTGAAAATATGAAGATAAAAGTATCTTTTAAAAAATAAAACCTCTCAAATCTCGATTTGAAAGGCTTTTAAAAACGGTAATCTGTTCGGAACCTACAAATTCGAGGGGTGGTATTTAAACTTGCGCAAGGCAATGTTTGAAGACCCACATCTTCACAATCATGCAATTAATCAAAAATCCCCACAAGGAAGTTCAGGAGAATTCTTTTAAGAACAACATATATCAATTTCATGGCAAAAAAAACAAAAAAAACCCGCTTGCAGCACAAAGCTCTGAAGTGACCCCATATGTTTGTTTACAAATTTCATGTGATGACGCGTTTTACGCATTATGATTGGCTTAGGGCAAAAATGTAAACAAAAGCAGCTGATTGGTCGAGAACGAAATTCCCCCTTGTTCGCCTTAACAGTATTGAAGTAGCTTCCACTTTGTCATGCTTCTCTGACACAACATTAATCATGTTGGCATAGACTGAAATTTCTAAGTCATAAAATTTCAACTCATTTGCCTTCCATACCTTCTTTAGAATAGAATTTGCATCAAACAACTGTACCCTGAGGGCCAGAAGATCTTTGTGATCACAAAGTGTTTTTTTTAAATCTTGACAGAAGATCCTTTGTATTTTCTGCCCTTGACACATCATAACTTGTAAAGTTTCCAGTGACACTGTCCTTCAAATATTTGTTAACATTCGTGCTATTGCCATTCTGCGAATCAGTAGAGTTCAGATCATTGAATTTTTTTCATGTTCTTTTCTCTTTGAAACCTGTCTCCATCGATGAATCCGCTGTCCCGAGACATATTCTTTAAATTGGAAAGGAGTATCTGCAGTGTAGATTTCATGGTAAAGCTGTGTTAGAACAATGTTAAAAAACTTGGCGTTGTCTCCAATTGGATTTGGAATCAGTAGGTGTTTGATCACTTTGGGTACTGCAAATTAACAGGAATGCAAACATGTGAAGTATGAACCATGACTTTGAACTTTCCATTTGAGAATTCAATCATATTTAATATATATCTGATCTAGACAACTTCTTTTTTTTTTGCCATGTGTTTATAATATTTTAATATTAAAAAACAAATTAATTCATTATTTTGCAATTGCAGAATGGTTGATTTTATAAAATAATACCTATCATATACTGAATACCAACAATTTGTAAACCACTTTATAATATATATTAAATTTATATAATATAAAATATCGAATTTTAAAACTTACACCCTGGAGCAGTAGAGCTTGATGATTGTCCCTGAGCTGACGGCGCAAAGCGCCGTGTGAGGGTACTAACCCCCCCCCGGCTATTTACACCTGGGGAAACAAAAGCATTATCGAAGTCTAAAGTTCATCAATGATCACGGGCGTGGGTAACCAACGATGTTGGGGTGTTGGGTGGGTGGTCATCCTAGCTGATCTCAAAAATATGGTGGACTGTCATGAATAGCAGACACTGATTGGTCCAATTTAAAGTTTGCATTATAATGACTGCATGACGACAGCAAAATAGCAAACATTTCTTGATTTGATGATTGATAAATTTCTTGCAAATATATTTCATTTTTGCAAGATTTTGTAAATTTCAAAAGCTTTCACAGAAAGAAAGGGCAAAAGAATCAGCTAAAACAAAGGGAGTCAATGTTAACGAAGGTAAGTTTGTTTTAAATATTGATTTTACAATTGCTTTAAAACCTGACGGCCTTTGCGTATATGAAACAACTAGACAAGACACAGAGGCGTAGCCAGGGCTGGGGCCGGCCCCCCTGGCAAAATTCCCCCCCCCCTGGCAAAATTTTGGGGCCCCTCTGATAAAATATATTGTACTAGTAAGGGTACCTGCAAGGTAGGGATTGCTGCGGGCATCAAGAGCAAATAGAACTAAAAATAGTACGAACTACATAAAGCATGCAGTTATTACTCACAACGAGCTGGCGACTTGTGAGCACTGTGGTCGGAGCTTAAGGAGTACGGAATCGATTCATGCCACGAGTGTCTGAGAAAAAGCAATGCGTTTGTTGCCAAGACCATGCACGGGTTCAGGAGCAATCACAGATTACAGATTACAGATAGGCGTGTTAATGTTTATGAAAGTAATTAATATTCACTAAATCATAAGCAAGAATATATAATATTTTCAAGATCAAATGGAATTTGTTGAATTTAATACGTGTGCTGCTCTTAGTAGTGAAATACAAACGACAAAGCATTCTTAAGACATACAGGTAAATTATATAACACAAGTTTTTGCTATCTGATTTCATATTATTAAGTCTAATACTGCTAGGCACATTTTATACCACATTGTATACACAGTATTAAACTAAGAAACCAAAACCTTATAATAAATTAAAATATAGAACCTACAGTGGTCAATGTCCATTGAGTGAACAACGCACGAAGTGCAGTCACGTTATTTTATACACTAAATTATGGCATTTACAGGGCTTAAAACTTTACGAAATCTTACGCTGACTGGGTGCCTGAGACAAAATAATTTACAAGTCGAAGCCAGCAAAACAATTAACGAGGTGAGGTGATTATTGGGGAATATTCGCCGAGACGAAGTCGAGGTGTGAATATTCCCCGATAATCACCGAGCCTGAGGCGAATAATTGTTTTAGCATTTTTGCACAAGTTTTTTTGTTTTTCTTGTCTGAATTCATTTTAATTTTGCTTATTTCTTTATCACTAACTTCAACAAAACGGCTAGCCGCCATTTTGAAAATTTCGATTTTGTTAATATTCACCTGTAGGTGAATATAACAGATTAATACGTCAAATTTGACCAATCACCTTGTAGGATTTGTTATGTTCACTTGTGCAAAAATACTAATAGACGATATCCTTCAAATACTCCTCAAATATTGTATGTCGTATGTTATTTTGTGTTCTGCCATAGCAAGCGCACACGACCACAATCCAATGCGCTAAATAAAATTTACTTTAAAACCCCCTCTCTGCACATATTAGAATGCTGCTTCGCTCTCTCGCTTCAGGCTCGCTCGCTACGCAGCAATAAAAAAAGGGAATCCTTGATTATATAGCTTCAAGTTGAGACCCGTCGGAAAATTGTCAATGTTGTCGGAATCTTTGTGGTGAAGCATCGGAAAAGTGATATGGAAATCGGGAAAAGTGCTACGAAAGCAATGTGATGTCCGGAACTGATTTTTTTTTACCAAAAAAGGTGTCGACGGGGGGGGGGGGGGTCGGAGAGATTTAAAATGTTGTCGTCCGGAAATTTTTTTGGCCCCACCTGGGTTTTTGCTGCCCCCCCCTGACCAAAAATCCTGGCTACACCTCTGACTGTAAGCTAATTATAGCTACATATTATAGCTATAATCAGCTTACAGTAATGTTTATTTCCCAAACGGTTTGACATATTGACTAGGGTAGCCCAGCATAAAAGAACCGTGAGTGAATTTTAACTTCAGGTTGAAGTGGTTCTTATATAATCTTACTTCACACTATATTACGTTTTTCTATTCTACACATTAATAGGGACTGTTGTTGCATAAAACTATTGCTATGACACTAATATGGTTCTCATTACATATATCTAAACTTAAAAAAAATTTAAAAACTTGTACATTACTGACCATTGAATACATTAAATATTTACCTTCCCTTTCTGTATGTAGTTTCTGTTCTGAAGCAGCATTCTGTTGTGATTGGTTTGATTCACTAGAATATGTATCCGTACTTGCGTGGCTATTTCGGGCAAGAAGCTTTTTATTCTGATATCTTTTCAAAAGTCGCACAACAGAAGGTGATTGAAACAGCTCCTGAAATACGATATTCAAATACAGTAAAATTTAATTTCGGTTATTGAAACAGTAACTGTAATGATAATTATGACAATTTGGTAAGTGATTATGTCAAAGATAATAAAAACCGTTTTCAAGGAATTTAAAACTTTCTTTTTCACTTTTTCATATACAATTGCTGTTTATAGACTACAACTTCCAGATTTTGAGAAATGGATATAGTAACAAACTCACATACCACTTGCTTTTGAGTTAGAACATCTTGCAACATATTTGAATACTTTTGTTCCAGGAGATATTGATCATCGATTACGATTTCTTGGGAAAGCTCCTAATTAAACACATACATTTTTTCAGAAAAACTGTTGTAACTAACAAGGTAAGTATGTCTTTATGCATTGTCAGCTTTGGTTAGAGTCTACGCCATTTTTTCTCCTGGGCTATAGCCCAGGTAACAATGTCAGGAAGGGATAGCATTATTTTTTATCTACAACCTCTTCTGGGATAAATGAACACCCACCTCTCCTAATAAAGGACAATGGTATGTGGCAGTGAACTACTGTCCTGAGAGTAAAGGGCAGAGTTAACCTGCCATGATTGTGCTCCAGTAGCACCACCTCAGAAAGTTTTTCCACCTCACCTGGAGAAACTTGCACCCCCCCCCCCCCCCCCCCCCCCCCCC